AAAACGAAGTTAGAGTGGGCTTTATCCAAGTTCAAATAAAACTCTCAATAAAATTCAAATAAAATTCTACCGGTAATTCCTTTAAAAATGAAAAATTGCAAGAATGAAAGATTTCATAAAACATCCAACCATCAAAGGGTTAATACCGGTCATTGTATCTCAGTAACCAAATTCCGGATTATAAAATGGTCAAAGGACTTGTTAACTCCTTTTCTCGCAAAGAATTTTTCACTTTTATCAAACATTCTCTATTTTTGAAATATTCTCCGCATGAAAATGTACGTCGTAGGTAAAAGGAGAAAATAGTCGAAGAACCGCAACACACACGTAAGCATGGTTATATCAGGTATCTCCGCGATTTTCGTGGCATATGACTTTACAGACTCGGATGTATAGCCTGCGTTGACTATATTCACCGCGGAGTATAGTAATTTCACACGGTGGATAGGGTAAAGCGGGTCTCCGATGTAAGGACGAAGACCTAGAGCGTTAAAATGAGAGAAGAAACGTGGAAGAAACAGGAGGAAGGGAGACGAAAGTGGTGTTCGCGCGTGTCGTTGCCGAGGCAACCTAGTCTCTGGGTTTCAGTCTGGTCCGTTCTATTTTCGATAGCCACGGAAAACGCATTTCCACCACGAGGTCGAGATATTTATCGTAGCATGGGTCACGTGTGCTCGGTTCCCTTTGCGACGCGCACCAGGCCAGAATTCCAAGAAATAGGGAAAAATTCAGTGTGCCATTTTTTGCATTGAAAATACAAAATCTTATCAGCATTCGCCCAATAATTATCAAAATAGTTATACGAATGGTCACCAGTGAATTTCTTTAGACCCACACATTATAATTGCCATACTGTCTTAACAGGTACCTGTATAGCCATTTGTTTCGTGAGCATAGAAAATGTCACAGGTATGCAGGTGACATTTTCAACAATCTGCCTATGCTGGTTTAGTAAGTCGTAAATGTGTCTGAGAAAAATTTATTAGACATATACGCTTTTTGTATATATGTATGCCATTTGCAGTCAAAGGGTTAAATGGCAAGGGATATGGCTGTGACATATCAAATAAAGTTGCTTTTCTCAATATAGCTTTCTCAAATATAACAGAGTCCTTTATTGAAATGATTTTTCAAATAAACAATTTAAAAATTTATGATTATCTAATAACGCTTTTGTCTAGATGTCACTTATAATATAAAATAGGAAAAATTACATTATACTATTTGAATTGCAAAAGAAGTATTTTGGCAAATTTTAATATTACAATTTGTTATTGATTGCTAACCGATTAATTTATCTTCATAATAATCTAAAAGTAAAATTTTTCTTGCTCAATTTAATTTCCGAGATAACGAAGAATGCTTCGAGTGAAAATTCTCTAAATAATTCGCGAGCGATTAAATTTAATCTTATCGGGTGGCAGCGACAGTGTGATCCATAATGGCGACGGAAATTCGATTTTCGTCGGGCTGCGATAATGGATAATTAATTACACTAATAATGATCATGATCGTGTCTGGTGTTAAGAGGCCGCAGATTATTTCGATAATATTCTCTCGTCGTCAAGTGGACGTGTTCATCGCTCTTTGGCGCCACTTGAAACGGATAAGAACCTCCTCAGTGAACGCTTAAAGCGGTCCTTTTTTTTTCTCTCTCTTTTTTTACTTCGCGCATCCGCACATAATTAAGCTCGCCCATTGCACTCGTGCTCCTTAGTTGGAAGAAGAAAAAGAAAAACGCTACGGTGAACAGATGACAGAATCCGAAGGTCGTGTCTACGCTTGCACAGTTGGATCCTGCACCTGCTCTATCTTCATCTATTTCACTTGAATGGAGTTTGGAAGGTGCACAATGGCCTTTTTACCTTTTACTCGCTTCACACAATTTTTGTCCAATCAATTTATAGGTCCTTCAATTATTGGACGTGCCATTTAATTTCGTGTTTTTTTTTTCTTTTAACATGTTAGTGGTAAAAGGGAATACTTTATAGATATAAAAAATACATTTTTTTTTAATTTTGTGAAATTTGATCTTTGAAAAATTAGGCTCTTAGAATGAACCGTAAGTTTTCAATGGGATGTACTTTAGGAGCAATTTATTTATAAAGAATATGTAATTTATTTCATGTTATAAGTAACATTTCAGAAAGCCTAATGGTATAAAATTTATATTTGCAATCTTATCATAATTTTAAATATTGTTCTGAAAAAATAGCAGTTGTTTAAAATATCAAGATAATGGGAGGGATATATAACATAAAGTCCAATTCATTCGTATAATCCTCAATCGGTTAAACGTTTTTATATCTTCGGGATTAAAATTCCCAATATTGGAAATTTCTCACTTTCGTTATATCCGGCTCGTACGTTTTATCAATGGTGTCAATCGCTTGACTATCCTTCACACCTTTGTTATACCCGTAAAGCATACACTGCCTTGTGTGCACTTTGCGAGTGTTCATTATCTCGGATTAAAATTACCTTTCACGCATTAGCGATCCCAAAGACAAAAACCATGAGATGGTTAAATACAAACAGGACATCTAGACATGGATTAACCCTGTATGTGTCTAGTCTTGGTCAGTCACAAAAAAGATGGCAATGGTCGAAGAACTGGAAGAGAAACATGGTTCATTGCAAAGATTGTAACTTTTTTGACGACAACAAAAGAAAAAGATACGTATAAGATCTTAATCGGTTTCGAGGGAAACATAATCTGTTATAATCCTGTATTATTTCATCAAATTTTTAAATGTTACAAAAGAAATTCAATGTATTAAAATGGCACTTGTACGAAATAATGGCACTAGGAATCATCTATTAAAATAAGGGTTAAAAAATTGAAATATCTCTAAAACTATCTACTTATTTTTTAATTATAATCTAACAATTCTTTAATGCAAAATTCTCCAAGGAAAAAGGACATGTTATTCCTCCATTTGTATGGAAAAAATTATTTTCAAATATTCTGTAATTGTTATTCACACTTTGAACACCTTTATCTACAATTAAATTGCCACGCTGCACACTCAGAAGGTCCGTATTAAGAGGGGTTAACGATCGATCAGAGCACGTTCGAATCGAAAGATAATTTTCTTCGGTGTCGAAGGTAGAGGCGGTTAAAATTTCGTTCGTTCCGATGGCCGGTCCAGCGACCAGGTTGCGTGGTACAGTTCCCACGTACCTTTTGCACCCCCTTCGTCCTCCAGGACGTGGCCACCAGCATCAGATACCGTGCGAGCACACCAGCATCGTCGTCCATCGGCCTCGCACGGACGAGCCCGCGAAGGCGGTGGGAGAGGCCTGGCGTAGACGCAGGATCCCGAAGTGCAGACTGTGGGACGAGGAAGCCACGATCCCGTGGCTACGGTGGGAAAGGTTCAGCAACAGAGACGAAAAGACTCTCTCCCACACGGTGGCGCTAAAATAAAATGACTGGCGAAAGGAATGCCGAAGCTCTCTCCTCTGTGCCGCGGAATGGCCTCAAGTGCCTTTGGGACTTGAGAAGCTCGATAGAGCGAGCAAGACGGCGAAGGCGTTGAAATCGTATATACGTAGGTAAAAGAAGCCTTTGGCGAAGAGGAGGAAAGACGAAGGGAGACACCGATGGGTGGACCATCCTCTGGTCCAGTTGGACCAAGATGGCAAACACCGCGACGAGATGCTTCTAACCCCCTTACCTTCCTATCCTTTTTTCCTCTTTCGGACCTCTACCCTTTCGTTCCTTTCCTTTGCTTTCCCTCTCATCCTTTCCCCGTTCGGTTGTGTTTCTTCTTTTGCGTTCCTACGCCCGTTCTATTATTCTCCTTTTACCGTCGATTTCCTCCTTCGCCCGGTATTCCGAGCCACGGCGACTCGATCCAGCCAACAGGAGACGAAGAGAATGTTACTAGGTTCCCTTGTATGTGCCGGCAATTTGTTCTTAGTCATCGTATATACCAAGCCTGGGAGATGGTCCTACCTGGTTTACACTGTACCAACCAAGTCCATTATTCTTCGACGGCTGGCTTAATAGGCTGATATTTGTTTCCCAGAGATCCAACCACCTATGGACCCATTAAACACAGCGTACTCTTGGAACGTTTAATTGTTTCCAAGATTGGGTAGTATTTTGTGATAGGAAAATACAGTGGAATTTTTCTGTTATTTCATTTTATTTTGTTCGACTACACTGAAATTTTAGCGATTTTTAATAGGGTTGAATGTTAACTGTTTGGAGATTGATCATACTTTCTATCATTGACGTAACTAGAATTTTTATTTGATGTGGGTAAGATTCCCTAACTTCATTAACATTGCATTAAATTGCACTAACTATAAGATATTCCATCTTATAAATTTCTGTTACTTTTAGTAAATGTTCTCGTTAGCGTTACTACCTCGTCTTTACGATCCACACGCTGTTGCGCTAACTATAAAATCTTCTCACCCTTGTAATTCCCAGCTACTTCGAGGAACTTGTTACTGTTATTGCGATACTTTTACGATCGATGTACCACGACGATGGCTACGAAATTTTCTTTCACGCGACGATGCCAGCGAAAGACTTTCCAACTTTGTATAATATTTCAGTGCTAATGACAGAATATATCCCTGTGAAAACTTCATTTATTTTTTACTTTGTAACGGGTCTTACTCCTATTACAAATTATGGTTATAATGTGGTAACGTAAACAGAGCACGGGTATTAATCTTTCACTTAATTCGTAGTTGTACTTTATAAGCGTTGGAGCAACTAGGGAGGGGTCAGGGTGGGCCTGGTTCCTTTCAAAAATTCGGATCCCAGAATTGTAGAATTCAAAAATTTTTAAATTCCAGAACTTCGAAATTTCAAATTTCCAAAACTAAAAAATTTCAGTAGTTTTGTAATTCTAGATTTTCAAAATTTCAAAATTTCTAGGGTATTTGGCTCACCCTACAAAAATTCAATTAATTTCACCTTCCTTCCAGCTGTAACAGCGCATTAATTAATTGCGACGATGTGTTTTTATTTTTTTCAGAAACGGTAACGATGCTCGCGAGGCAGTCGGAGAACAAAACCTTAACCCTGTTCGATCAAGTGTACCGTACAATGGCAGTGTTGAGCAGACCTTCGATAAAGGCGTTGTACCAAGCTATGGTTGATTACGTGTCACCTAGTAACACGCCGGACACCTTGCAACAACCTCTTACACGCGATATGCTTCAGGAACGTTTCATCGAGTTCTTCACCAAGTTGTTCCCGATCGCGTATCACAATGCGGTGAATCCGCGTCAGTACGAGCAAGATTTCACGGAGAAGTTTAAGAACTGCTTGTACGAAACTATGGAGGAAATACAACCGTTCGGTGACATACCTAAACAGGTGTCGAAGTCGGTCAGCAAGAGCCTCGAAGCTACCAGGGTACTGGTGCAAGCCTTGACTCTTGGCAAAACGGTTCTGGATAGAACGGACAGCGTGCTGTTTTCCGGTACCAGCCCCCAGCAGGAAGCCTGCTACGGTGCGTTGCTCAGGATGACCTATTGTCCGAGGTGCAAGGGCATCGGTCCCTCAGTCAGGCCCTGCAGCGGATTCTGCACTAATGTCATGAGGTGAGCACGATGTAGCCGAGTCTCGTAATTACTATAGCCTTACGGGCGAACCTATTCACCGCGGCCTTTTGTTAATTTTCAATCGCATTAGTCATTCTGACGTCCCTCGGTTCTCTGGGGATCGTTTCAGACCGTGTGCCGTGTGAAAAATTCAAGATACCATGGTCCGCGGGGTTTCCTCCTCGTGTTGCCAGACTTTCGAACAATAGAACAGTTGGCAGTAGGTTTTTGTTTTTTTATTTTTGTTTCTTCGGGTTTATTTTTGTGGAAATATAATGTCGTGTTTCGTTACGATGATTAGCAGTTTAAAGGGTCTCTCTGGGATGACAATACTTGAGAAAGGTGAATTTTGAGAATTTTTTGAAAGAAAATTATCCAGCTTTTCAATTGTTTCACTTGCATAAATTTGTTATATATTTTTGAAATATTTAAAATATTTGTAAAGTGTAAATTATATCAGTCTTGCAAGGATTCATACCTGCCTTGATAATAGCAGTCCTAATTCATTTTAAACGGTAACAATAAAATGTTTGTATTTTTTTTACATTTGTTTAATGAGAATAGAGAACGATTTGGTATCACTGTGATCCATGTTTAAATTCATAAGATGCAAATTGCAAATAACCGCAAGCGGTTTGATCGATTGGTTTCCGGATTCCAGGGGTTACTGCGATTCTTTTGCGGTTAATTTATCCGGTACGTGCACACGGCCGATGAAACCACTGAAATCGCTCACTTGAAATCTAAATATAGAGAGAGCACGTGGGTGTGAACCAAAATGCGTTTTGTAACCACCTCGTGTTAGGGATGATTTCGGTGTGCAGCATTCCGATTCCACAAATTCTCTATACGACATTCTCGTAATTTCCTTTCGAATATTTTTAAAAAATTTCTTCCCTAATTTGTAGTGATTGTAATATTATAATTCATAATTTATTAGTACAAATTTTATTTTTTCTGCCTTTTGATATCATTTCTGTAATTAAAAATGAAATTTAGAACAAGGTTTAAATGTACGTAATTTTATTTCTATAAAAAAATACTGTGCATATTCACATTTTTATAATGATGTACGTTACACTAATTTGTTAGCTCTGTTCGTTTATATTCAACATTGACTTTTTTTTTTAAATTATTTATAATGTTCATGTTTTTTAATGAAGAAAAAATTAGATCGATTCATGGAATAGTTTATCTTGAATGAATTCTTGAAAGAATCCAAGATACTTCTAGAGTCTAGAACCTAGACTTTAACACATAAACTGCCACAGTAGAAATAGTCATGAATAGTCAGACACATTTTCTTCAATTTTTTTCCTTTTAGTTACTACTCAGTAATTATAAATATAAATGAAATACAAGTTAATTTTTACTTGGCAGTCAGCTCGTTAATGTGTTAACAATAATTTTGAATAATTAAGAAATTAATTTACATTTTCCGTTTCACATACAATTTCGTAAGCGCCATGACCGAATACCCATCTAGCGGACAATAAATGAGTCAGCGTGACGAATGCCTATCGCGAAAATTGACATTTAGCGAAGGACTGTCTTGCGGTATGTGTGTAAAAACGGGCGAAGGACCGATCCATCTAGGTTAGTTTTGCTTTTGTTTCTCAGCTTACTTTGGTTTATATATTCTTTGATTTACTTTTCTATTTGTATTATTGCATTATATTATTTGGTTTCTTTTATTGTGTGAATAAAATCTCGCTGCAAAGGAACGCACGAGCCTAATTATTTTATTGCGCATCTGTCGGCCACGTGGTGTCGTAGTTTGCTTACAATATTTTTTATAATCAAAAAATTTTTTAACGATAGTGTAACCCGTCTCTATTACTGTCTTATAAAAATTCAAGTAGGTGTGTCATATATTTTACCACAACTTCATCGGGTCAAGAATTCATAAAAGCAAAAACAAAATGGGCGGTAGGCAAGTCAAAACACGTCTGAAATGAGTCACAAAGTGACTCAGCAAAATGGAGTTTTGAAATGACCCGATAGGTTGTAGCAGAGGGAATCAAAGACGAAAGTGAAAATAATCTTGTTGCAGAGGATGCTTGACAGAACCAGCATCCGAACTAGATCTGGCATGGTCCGGCTACGTGGAAACGGTCGAGAGGCTGGTTGTGGCGGTCGACGGTCGTAACGATCAGTCGGGCCTGAATGCCGAGAGGGCTGTCAGACAGTTGGACACCCGCATTTCGGACGCCATTATGCACGCGATGGAAAACGGGCCGGCGCTCGAGGAGAAGGTGAGTACCCGCCAAAAGAATTCTAACACACGTGTAATCTTCATCAGCTACGTAGGCTGAATCTCCTCTCCTGCCGTTTATTCATCCATTCTTGCTGTTTCGCGTTTCTATAGGGTGTCTCTGAGCAGAATAAACACTAACTTGGTATTAAATAGAGAATACGGTTCTGATTAAAAAAGCCACGTTTCAATGGATACATTCGCTATTAACACTCAAATGGAAATTCGTTAAAAAGTCTTCTTTTTTAACTTTAAACCATACACGTCATTTGTACGTTATATTATTATTTAAATTATATGACAGGATTTAACTTTCTTTTAACTAAGTTTGGGTCTCGATTGAACCAAACTCCGCTGTTCAAGGATTAATGTAATTATAAAAAATGCATATACACAATACTAAAGCATTTTCTGACAGAAATAACCGTAGCGAAAGGGTTAACAGTGCATTTTCGTCAGGATGTAAATTTTAAAATGTTTACCTAGTCGTCTTGACAAACTATTATTTTAAAGATAACAATCGGTGGTTCTTGATACTCTATAATTACGGGAATGTTCCGTGTGCGATCATGTATAGTTGGTAACCATTATAACAATCACAGCGATCGATAGAGCATTCACCTTTTGTAAACCATTTCGCGTCCGAGTACGGTTACACAAATACCTTATTCGTTCTCACATTTTTTTTTTTTTTATTTATCATTTTGCAATTAGAATTAAGTGGTTAATTACGGTGATATAGCTTCTTTTAATATGACAAATAGTATAAGAGGAAATGTAAGGAGGAGTAACTTATAATTAGTTTCTAGTTTTGTTTTACAAAGAACGAACGTCGTTGCAGATAATTAATATCAGAGGTAGATAATTTAATATCCAGTAATTGCTATTTTATGCAAAGGATGTTTAGTGTGTATAAAAAGAATTTTTATTGCAATTTTTATATCTCATTTAAGTCTAGCATTATTTATTCATTAAAATAAATAGGCGATATCTTAAAACGGGTAATATAACAGATTAAAATTTATACGAACGTTATATGATCATTTAGTTTTCATTCCGATGATCGAACACCCGGTATACGAAAATAAGAAAACGACAAGCCTAAAAAATTTTTCGGCGTTCTTTGGCAAAATAAATGGCGTCGTTTATGGGCGACCATTCCGCACGATTTCTCGAGCACCGGCGCTGAATTCCTTCGATCTCTTTTTTTTCGGTCCTTTTCTTCGAGAGGACTCGATTCGTATCTCGAATCCTCTACCTGAGGACTTGCACGTTATATTTTCCCCTTTCATTGCCATTGATATTAGCGCCGGCAGCGAAGAACGCGTGGAATTTCATGGACCGGGCATTATGCACCACGGTGCATTGTACCTATTTCCATAAATTTGCTTTTTATTTAGGAGGGAACCAATTTGCGGGAACGATATGTTTGCCCGTCGCGGATTAGGGGCTGTTAATATAAATGATCGCGAGAAGTTTGTGGAAACTACTGCCTCGGTTAATCTTGAATTTAGGAATGGCCCCCGTGTAGGCGTGAACTTTCCGAACGATGCACTTCGAATGCACCGTTCGGAACGGCATATAATTTATACGAATTTTTGAAGTAATATCGTGCCATATTTTTAAAGAAACATTATAGTCTTTTCGATTTTAAAGATGGATGTTTCCTGAGAAGTTTTTAATTTCATTTTTACCCTTGCGGGGTTAATTTCCTGAATTATGCACTTTGGATGCACATCATTCTCGACTTATATGCAATACAATACAATTTATACAAATTTTGGAATTAACATCATGCCATTCTTTTATAGATTTTTTTTAGAAGTTTTTCTTATATTTTTGAAAATATTAATTAATAATTGTTTTCAATTTATTACTAATTTTTGTGTTTGACATAAAAAAGAAGAATATTTCTTACTTGAATTATGCAAAATTATTTCTGTTCTATATGAAAACTAATTGGATTAATTAGTTTTATTTATCCCATTATTATTATTGGAAAATGAGATCATAAACATATAGATAGTTCTACTTATAGAAATAAATTAATCTTTCATTGGAAGAATGTTTATTGATACTCTTACTCAATAGATTTGGTCAAAGGTTCTTCTTATGAAATAGAATAGAATGTAAAAGAGCAACGTTCTAATAAGAAGTAACTATGATTTCATAAAAAATGTAAGAAAAAGTTAATTAGAATGCCCTAGTTTACAGGGTATCACGTAAGCCACACTAGTTTCTGGTAAATGGAAGTTTAGACGTATTCAATGAGGGTGCAATGTGCGACATGCAATGCTAGTTTGCGCATGATATGCGGTTCAAATCCAACACGTTAAACTTCTCTACAGGTTGTTTTAATATAACTTCCATGTTCTCCATATCCTCGATAGTCTAGAATAATATAATTGCTGAAAGAAAAGAAATACAAATATTAATATGGTTTGATACCGAGCGATTGGTATAACTAGGATTTTTTCTAGGATGTGCAAATTCGAAAATTTTGGAATTCGAAAATTTTTGACTTCTGGAATTTTAGAATCTTAGAACTTCGGTATTTTTTTTAATTCCGAGATTTAGAAATTATGGAATTCTAAAAGTCTGGAATTTTGGAATTTTGGAATTCTGCAATTTTAGGATGGTGAGAAGTCCAGCTCACATTTTTGGGAGGGCCAAGCCTTCCTTGTCCCCTACCTACTCACCCCACTAATTACAGTCCCCCTGCTCTCGTCTGGATAATTACTCGAAATATGTCACTAAGAATTAAATGTATCACTTTAGAAAGTTATATTTCTGTAATTATTATTTCGAACAAAACTTGCGAAGAATCGAGGAATATTCCTATTGAATCATTATGGATATTTAAATATATCTAGGATTACTAATCAGCGAGCAGAGACAGATAGTTACAGAAATAAAACGATTATTGCAAGTGTAGATAGAAGGCGTTAAAAATAAATTGAGTGCTAGAATGATTAACTGATCGGACGTTGAATCGCTTCCGTTAGAAAAATACATTTGCTTTTATATAATACAATCAACTATGGATGTGTTTCCAATCTTTGTTATTTCTTGCATCATTATTCCTTTGAAGTAGAAATTAAAAACAGCATCAATTTCAATTTGAAAGCTGGGGGTTTCATTATTCCTGCAATAGACCGGGCGCATAGTATCGCTAGTTAGACGGCGTCGATCGATTGCATCGCGTTCGGTGCATCGGCTGCTTTTTTGCCAGATGATCGACGCACCAGCATCGAAATGGAAAACGCGTACGGCTCTGAAAGCAGCCGAACAGCGAGAAGCAACGGCTAGAAACAGAATGAATAGATGCTATAAATTGTGATGCAAGCTATAAATTTCTGTTGGCTGCAATCGTCCAGCTTTGCGTGCCATAGCGATTCGCGTATTGCACCGAGCGATAGGCGAATGACACCAAGGGCGTCGTAACAATGCACTTTGAACGACTGGTATCACGTTGGTGGCAAGAAGACGCGGTTCAAAAGACGAAAGAAAGAATGTGTAATATATAATAAGCGTGTAGAGTATCGGTTTCGAACATGCGATACCGTGCTTTGGAAGAAGGTTCTGTTGTTCATCGTGCCAGATGCATTTAATGAATATGGCAGGCCAATTGTTGCCAATGAGATTTGCATAGAATTTAGACCTGTTAGGTGACACTAGTTTTCCATTTGTTAGCTGCAATCAGAAAAAACCCATTCATTTTAGTTTTACAAATTAATTAGTATTTTGGAAAAACAAATATTTTCTATACAGATTACAATATAATTTTATTATTACTTTATCAAAAATTAAAGATACTATTAATTAAACACGTTAACCCTTAAAGATCTAGAAGTATTAAAAGAATGATTTCTTCCTCTTAATTCAAAATAGTCATTAATTTTAATATATAAATACTTGTTTTACGTTACTGAGGTCTCAAAAAAGTTATCCGAGGTTAATTGCTTACAGCAGGTGTACATGTAGACTTTTAAGGGCACAGCTATTTATTTTAACGACTGGGCATTAAAAAACTATTTTTCTTACCACCATAAATGTAAATGAGTGATAACTGTTATTAAATTATCCGTTCTTTATGATTCGTTAAAGTATAATACTACTGACAATGAGACTTTACGCAGATATTATCCAGTATAGACACCATAAAGAAGTAATTAATTATGCTTTTTGTTCATAATTTATGGGGAATGTTTTTATTATCTCAGTTACTAAGGTGTATTTGTGGTTATGATAGAAACATTATTCGTTTTGTTATGATATTAATCAGGTGTTCTTAATATTACTCTTTTGAAGTTCATCCTTTATGTATTTACTTTTTCGCATTATTTGCAACTTAAAAATAAATGTACAACGTCGGTAGTTCTAGAGTTAATTACTGTTTCATAATTACTATTTTAACTTTGAATACTTCTTAGTTACTGTTTCAATTTTAAATATTTTTAATTACACCTTTTTATTTGCTCTCTTAATTACGAATATCCTTAGTTACTGTTCCTCAATTACTATATTAATTTATAATATTTTTCCTGCTCCAAAAAATTAAAAATGCTACTGATAAATGGTACAAGATTCTTGATAACAATGATTATTTTCTTAATTAAAATTATCTACTACAATTTTTTAAAAATAAATCTGCCATTAAAAAGAAGGGCACCGAATTAATTTGTAAGCAGATACATCTAACAGATTTTAGAATGAGATGTCTAGACAGCATTCACCTAATCGTTTATATAAGTACAAAATAAAAAGGTTCTCAATATTTCTTTGGAGGATACATATCTTTTAGAACTATTTACACGCTCTGTTGAGCAAAACTAACGACCGAATTAGCATTTTCATCGATGTCTAACACTTCGAAACTTATCAGTTGGAGCGTGACCATAGTCTCGCGTGCTTCTTCCTTCTATTGCTTCACCTCTCTTCCGTTATGCACGAACTTCGATGCTATTTACCTGTAGTACCGGTATACCTTGTTCACCTCCA